AGCCCAACAAAAATAAACAACCGAATTACTCGAATCAATCAATATCTGTAGACGTTAAAGTATCGATTAGTTTAAATGGATTTAGAAAATTTAGCCAATGAGATTTGAGAAAAACATACATACTTGCCGACATTTATGTACCAACCAACAATGACTCATCCATTGTCGAATGAATGAAAAAAATAAATGGAAAAACAACTCAAACATTCGAAGTGTATGACTCACTGAATCGATCGAACTTCATGTCGATTATGTCAATCAGATTGTAAACAAAAAAAGAGACTAAGTCTACGATTTTGGGTGAATGTTGCCATATATATTATTTTTAGTCACATAAACAAAATGAATCATTGAAAGTTAGGGAATATTGGTCAGCTGTTTCGTCCTAGTCTGAGATTCGTCATCAGTACTCACTCACCGAGATATGATGCTGGCTAGTGACTGTCCGGAGTTATAGTGAGAAAACGAAACCAGTAGAGTTCGCCCCGGTCGGGAGTGAGGATAAATACTCGCCTGCGATGATACTGGCTGGTACTAGTCACGCTAAAATTACGAAGTGGTAGAAGTTAGAATTCATAGATTGGTCCTTGGATCATGTCTCAGTGGCTTAATGGTCTACGAGCTCGCCTTGTAACTGGGGGGGGGTTCCTGGGTTTGAACACCGGTAGTGGCTGCGTTTTATCGATGAGTTCGAAGGCAGGACGAAACAGCTGTTCAGTACTTCCTAATGGTTTTCAAACTTACGTCAATCAGCGATCAAACTTAATACAAATCCCAACGAACAAGCTCTTAGAAAAAAATGCCCTCAGCGCCTAATAGAAGATATTAAAACAGATTTTAGGTTTTATCAGGAATTCGAATAATTTCGACGTAGATTACGTCAAAGACCGCCGTATCAGTTATAGAAACAATGAAAGGCAAGAAGCACTGGACCAGTATGCCATCCTTCTTTTTAAGTCCACATTAGTGTGTACATCTAACCCCCTCCCTATCTAGGATATTAACTCGGAATCTTCAGGTCACAAGGACAGCCTGTTGACTTTTAGGTCATTGGTTAGGAATAAGTTAACTGATGATGTCTAAATTCTGAGAGCCTGTAATTTAATGCCTCCAACAACCGCGGCTATCCGTGTGAATATGCTTTAATCTGTCATCGTAGATCTCACTGGATTCGACTTTTCATTAGAGTTGTGAGAAGTGCATTCTATAGCCACTGATGAGCTCAAGATTGATATTCAAATGATGGATTTCGTGGAGATTCGGAAGCTGGAGGTCCTGAGTTTGACTGCTGGTAGGGTCGTGGCTGCGCACTCCTGAAGAATCTGGAACTAGGATGAAGCAGCTGTCTAGAGCATCTTGGTTTCTCAATGATATTCTAACTGATATATTGGTTTGAAAACAAAAGGTACACTGAAATTAGCAAAAATCTTTAAAATTAACAAAGATTTTGACAATTTTTGTTGTGAACAGTCCAATTTACCAACTGGAAGCTTAAATATCTAGAAATGGACTAATGTTTCATAGTAGTCTGGCGACAGTCAACAGCATGCATTTCCAGCTAAACTAAGAAAGTCCTTATCATACAAACTACATTCCATCCAGGAAGCCGTTAGACTAAAATCATCTTCAATTCAGGCAACTGCATAAAATTCTAGCTGAACTAGGTTAAAATCATATAGAATGCATAAATGATTCTTCGGTATAACGTTTGTCAGATACGCGGAAGATTCACGTTAGATTTGCAGCTGACGCACTCCTAAACCATGACTGATTTAATAGCTGATAGTGAGTCCGGAAAATAGGGCAGGTTCGGCGTTAGGCTAGCAACCTCACCGAGTAAAAGCAATACCACCGCTACTGAAATTTTAAAGTTTGGATGCCTAAGGTTCCAATCGAAACACCAAGGAAGGAAGATAAAGACCTCAGCGAGTTGGAGTTCTGCAAAAATATACTGAATAAACTCTGTTTAATAAATATCCCCTCTTTATATAAAACAACTTCAGTACCACAATGCTTCTGAGGAGACATTGCCAAAAACAAGTTCTCCTTAAAATTGATTTTTTTCAATAAATGCAATATCAATTCAAGCAGAGACAACAATAAGGAAATCTCCGAGAAGAAGCACTCACAGTAGATATCTCCAGGAGAGACAGAGAATTCGCAGTCATCAGTACACACTTAAGTTATTCCTAAAAATGGTTGTCTAGAAGGATACTGAAAGCTTGGTGTCTACACCATCCAATGACTCTCAAAACACCAATAAAATTTCTGGATGATCCACAAGTATCCTCGCTTATTTCAATAAATACAGCTCCTAGATATACGTTAATGGTTATTAAAAGTTAAAGATGGAATTTTCAAAATTACGTCATCTGGTAACTTGTTTGGGGATAATTAGCAATAAAATTTAGGAAGCGCATTTCATCTTATTTGTGATTCGTTAACTAAATATGCCTCAATTTTCACTAAGTGTTAGGATTCCCAATAATAATGATGAGGCTACGGTAAATTGCGGTTCCTAATAGACAAAACTTCAATCCTGTGTTTCATATTCTTTGTGATTATATTTATGCCGGCACGTTTACCGACGTTTCGTTACGCATGGAAAATTCTCTTTGTTCAAGAGTAAGTATCGTTTTGTACTTGAATTGAAGTATTTGCCGTGTACTTGTACAACCAGACAGCAGGATAAGTGTCCATTTTTACCTATTAACCTCTCGAAAACTTACTAATGTGAAAAGCATTCTGGTATATGCGTACACTACAGTTTGAATCGAATAAGTGAAGACCACTCGCATCAGCCTGTAATGCTGCCTGGCCACATTTAAGTAGTTCGAACACTAGATAGTCTTTCAACTCAGTTGACAAAACCAAATCAATTCAAAACTAACCATATTCTGTCTACATGCTTAAACGAAGGCATAAAACTTGAGTTGAAATTATCAATATTACTGGCAACATGCCTGAATCATTGGAATGTGTCACAATTACTCTATTTCAATTTGTTCTAAGTATTCAATTACATTGCTAAATAGTAGTCGGTATCTATAAACTTTTATTTTTTCCCTTTACGGTCAGAAGAGAAGATAAGTCTTCGAGTTACAGCTTTTGAATTTTCGCTGTGTTATATTTTTAAGGAGTGGGATCGCTAACCCTACGCCATACCTTTCTCTCCTGACTGGTTCTAAGACCAGTTTCGTGAGGTTTAGGAGTGCGTAAGCTCGGGATCGAATCCCTGACCATGCGAGGAGTGATTGGTGAGCATTCTACCGCCGAACCACCCACGTGGTGTCAACCTATTACGATTGAAATTGCAAAGGATATAAAGAAAATACGTTAAAGGCTATTAGACTGTGACGTGCATATATATATATATATATATATGATACCAATTATTAATTTACCTAGAGATTCTACACATGCAGTTAATACTTCGCAACAGAACATGCTGAGAATCTCACAGTATGTATTAGTGCATTTTCCGAAATGAAGCTATTATAATTACTGGAAAGCTACCTAGCTCCAGATGAAAATTAACTGTAGGTTGTTATAGCAACCGAAATGACTCAAAACACTGTCTCAATATTTGCCACGATCTTAAACTCAACAAGGACAATCTAGTGCCAATCAGGTACTTAAAAGAAACACAGGTGAATGAAGGTTACTGCCTTCAGTTACCGGTCCTAAAACGTCACAGCTTGATAAGGTATATTCGCAGCTCAGACGTGGTCAACTGAACTGTGTACACTTGACTAGTGGGTTAAACACTGGAATCCATGATTCTTGTTGAGTTTTAGACAGTTAAATGGTATTATTAAATGTTACAAGAAAAATTTCCATTTTATTTTTAGGGGTATAGAAATGAACATGGGTGTTTCCCTAGCTAAGAAATCACGTCTGTTGTTCTAAATCTACAGTTTGTCTCACATAAACACACAAACAAACCCTACTATCATAAAACACTGAAAAAAACATGTATCTACAATTTCTAATAAGCGGGTAATGAAAGTAGCGCCGATGTTGAATTTGTTATCTTTAACTTGTTCAAAATTCAAAATCATTGTTTCATGCTTTTGTTTACTTATATTCAAAAGAAGAATATTGTAATAAAAAGCGGAGGCTTAAAAATTTATTTGTCTTTAAATAAGAGGGTGTTTCCTTCACAAACTGGCAAAAAGAAATTAAGAACACTTATTCAAACAATAGGATTTCAAAAGGGTCCTTTTGACCACAAATAGTATGATTAAAACAAAAAAAATGGCGGTAATTCATAAATTCAATGAAATTCATGGAATTCGTTATTCTTTTCATAAAATTCATCATAAGTTTCATCAGTACATAAAGTCTGTGGAATCAGCACAGGCACACACACACACACACGCACACCAACAAATACCTACAAATATCAAGCAATAACCCCCATGTTATCTTATTCTCTACAACTTGAGTTTGTTCTAATGGTAAGTTTTATTCAAGGAACCTCTAGTTAACTCCTCTTTTTTGAGCATTATCTATTGATTTATTTGTCATATAGTCCCAAATCGACCAATTGCTGAAACTAGTATAAGCTATATGAAAGGTCGACTGAGCCCTTAATATCTTAGTGACTAAGGTGTTGTCGTTAAATTCAGAAGTGAGTGTCGAGAATTCAAGTCTTTGAGAAGATACTATTTTTTTTCAGTGCTGTAGGTATGTTTTGCTTATTAGTACCTAAAAGAACGAAAGCCAGGCCTAGAGTCGGTGACTATTCTAAGTCAACAGAAAACGTCCTGAGATGATTACTTTTCTAGCTTTTTGACGTTGCTGGCGAATTAGTTAAATTTCAGAGGGATCGAATGCACTCATAACGGCCTTCTACAGGGTCAAAGCTGTATAGAGTAACATCCTGTGGGGCAGCCAGTTGGGTACCCTCTCCGCCAGTTAATCAATTGAAAGAATACATTCAGAATTCAGGAAACGAGCAGTCAGTGCATCGATAATCTTAAAAATAAACGACTTACGTTCTCTAGGAGTTCCACTACGAGGACCGTTTGTTGTACGTAATTTATCCACTTCACTGCCAAGATCTCCAGTCAAAGCAATAGGATTGCGTAGTGGCTCTGAAGATTGAATAGGATAGGTATAACAAAACATTATCAAATAAACATTGAACGATTACAATGCCAAGAAGAGGAAATTTAAAACGTCAGAGGTAACCTCTAAAAATTTGCGCAGGATTATAAACAGGGGAAGAATAAAAGTGTCTTTCACACCCTCAAATGATTTAGGAACAAACTAATTAGGTTAGATGATCCTGTGGAACCCATTAAACAAAAAAGTTTAGTTTAGTGAGGTCAAATACAAAGGTCAAAGTAGTGAGCCAGATTCAAATGAACCAGTGGAGTGCAGTCTGGAATGGTATACCCTAATAAGCTGAGAAATCCGGAAAAATATTTAGCCGTAGCATTACATAACTGACCTTTAACAAGGAACCATCAGTAGGAGAGACCAATATCATTTCAAAACGGAACCGCGGGCAAATTGAGTAGGCAGTACAGACATTCATTACTCCGAAATCGATTCGAAAATCTACAATGATCAGCATAAAGAACAAGATCCGATTCCTATTTAACACTATTGACACATAAGTGCTGCTATAGGCTTCACAGGCTTGGCTTATTAAGCACAAAAGAATTTCCAGCAGACTACCGAAGAATTCCATCAATACCTGCCTCCACCTCATACTGAAGATAAATGGCCGAAATGGTTAACTAAACAAAAAGAAACTCTAACAGTCAACCAGCTAACAACATATCGTCCAAGAAATGCACAAAAGTAGATGGAGATTAACTGGACATCCCCTGAGGAAACATTCAAGTGACATTGCACACCAGGTTCTCACTTGAGTGAGTGAGTGAGCTGAGCCTGGATCCAGGTGCGGTACAGCAAACATAATGCGGAAATAAAATGAAGGCTAGTGGACTGGAAGTTGTACAGCTGGCTGAGAATGATGCCATCAAAACAAAGTGAAGTGTTGATGTGCTGTTCGGTTTCTGTGTTCACTGGAAACATAAGAAACGAATAATGATCCAACATTATCATGTAAGTGAGTGATTGAGTTTATTTCTTCTTAATTCCTTTACTTCTCAGCGGAATATAGAACTTCAATCTAGAGGCTTGAAGTTTCGGTAGCAGTGGTATTTTATTTCTATGGGATGGAGTTGCTAGCCTCATGCCCAACCTTTCCTCTTTACCAGTTTTATTTCTGGCTTAGCCAGATAATGCATCAGACGAGGATTGAACCCCGGACCACATCCGTGGTCGGCGAGCATTCTTGCTGTGCCACCGACGCACAGAGTGAGTGAGTGAGTGCATCATTAAATTTCTGCAACCAATGAATTCATTACTTCAAGAGTATTTCACTCACATATGTCTCAATGTTTAAGTCAGCGTAATCTAATTAAGGAATGTGATCACATTTATACTACTCATTTCAGTTAGTAATATGGTTCAACTAGACTTGTCCTGTTCGTTCAGTTTCACAAAATAATTCATCTTTATTTATTATAAAAGTGATGAGTGAAGTTAGGACAGAAGCCCGCCTCACACAAACAGGATTTGAATGAGTGCCTTCTACGTTAGGAACTAAATAATCTATGAAGTGAACCTTGAGAAGATCAACAGCTACGTATATCACTTTAAATAGTACATTGTAAAAATCTTAGTCAAAAGAACACTGGAGAAGTACTAGAGGTATGTTAATGAAATCGATGCGTAGTTAATAAACTTTTGAATGCGGAACAAACTTGCCAGTCAATAAAAAAAGGTCAAATATAAGGTCATCGAGTGTAAGTAAGGAGACCTATCGAAAAACCAATCATACTGAAAGTGACCAAGACAGATGAATGTCTCATCTATGGATAATTCCTAAAGCTCACCTCACATCGAGGTTAGCGCTAAAAATGTTGTCCAGAACGAAAATAATGGGCTTCACACTTAAACCAATCAGGAACTTAGAGAACGCAAAAGCACCGAAACATTCGGTTACTCGATTTCCATCACAAACGAAAGTTAATCAGAGAGATAACTAGAAACCATGGAGTACTGTATAGCTGTCCCACTCTAGTCTGCGGCTGTCCAACACAGCGGATCCACCATCTAACTATAGATCGAGCTCATAACTTTCAGGTTTTGAGACTAAGCTCATTTACCACTCATCCACTTGGGCTAGATCCCAGTGATCCCTGAATTCTAACTTTGTCAATCCGTGATATTCAGCTGCCCTCATCAACGACCGACAAGCGGCCACTTCACCTTGACGTGGTGAACCTCTCTGGTCCAATAACCTGAACAGCAGAGATGCTAAACATATTCATTCTACCATTGAAAATTCGGTTTGTAAATCATTTGTAATAGTTTTACTGTCATTTATCTAAAGATTTTGGTTTTTTAGTTTTCAGTCGCCTAGCTGCATACACTCCTGGGTGTCAAATCCTTCATCTGAAAGGCTGACCATGTCATCGAACATTATCTACTGAATCCGTATATAACATTTGCTGTTCTTCGCAGCAACGCATGCACACACATACACATATATATAAACAAACGCAGACAAATCTCCACACAGACACCCACACACATGCATACAAAGGAAAAGGGCCAAAAATAGCAAGAATCAATTGTAAACTTTACTTATTTACAGCTGAAACAAGTGCAAAACTCTGAATAAACCCGTTTTTTTGTTGTTGTATGGAAGAAAATCAAAGCTCTACATACTTAGTCACACTTTTGTTTGGGGATGGATATTGATTGATGAATGCGTGTACGTGTGTGTGTGTATGTGTGTGTGTGTGAAAAAAGACGCACAAGAAGAAGGCAGGTGAAAGTAGGATGGCAAAATAAAGTAGAACAATACTAGAAATGATCGAGGAATGTTATTGTTGTCATGTGGATAGAATGTGCTTCTTCAGAATCTTTTTTGTGTTTACATACATGCAAACGTAACCACATACACACGCATATAAACAGACTGACATTTATACTGGCGTTCATCATCTCTCTTAACTTGTGTGCAATAATTTAACTCTCCAGATTACTATCTTTATGATTCATGGGTTTTTTTTTTGGTATGTTCCATCCACTTTCCTCTTTTAGAAATCAGTCAAAAGTCATAAAAGATAACAGTGAAAACGTCTTTCTTCCCCGTTGATTTTCAGGTAGAGAAAATTTTTGAGGTGATACGATGTACTACTACTACTGTTATTTGCTCTACTGAATTGATTTATCAGTAGCATATAATGAGACTTTAATTGGCACTTAAAACACTGAATGGTTTCAACGTCAAAGAGAGTGCGTCGGTGGTATAGCGGTTAGGATGCTCGCCGACCATGCACATGGTCCGAGGTTCGATCCCCGGCCGATGCACTCCTTTACCTCGCTAAGCCAGTAATAAAAGCTGGTAAAGAGAGAAGGTTAGGCATGAGGCTAGCAACCCCATCCCGTTAAAAATAAACACTGCTACAGAAACTTCAAGCCTTCTAGCTTGAAGTCCTATGTTCCACTGGGAACGTGAAGGGAAAAGAAGCGTCAAAGAGAGGAACTAGTATGAACCAGTAACGTGGAAAAGCACGGGAAACACCAAAAAGAAGATAAAGAAAGATAATACGAAGTGCAGAAGTAGCACAGTATGGAAGGTCTGTGCAAATGACAATTTCCATATAAGGCAAGCATAATTTACCTATAAATATTAGTCGGTGTTTGACAGTCACAAAATGGCAAGCAGACAGTTATAGGTATTATCGGTCAACAAGATTATAACAACAGATTCAGTGTTCGAAAGGCAAATAATTACAATAAGTTCCACAATGTTTTGGTAAGAAAATACACAGAAATAAGAGTTTTATGTAACTGAGTGAATGTAGCGTCACAATCGAAAGGCGCGTCACAATGTGCTACCAGAAAAAGATGAGAAACAGGGATCTCTGGGAGCGAACCAACCCAGCCGAGATCGATTGTACAACAAATAGGCAGGAAGAAATGGAGATGGATTGGCCATTATCTGAGAAAACCATCAGGTGACATCACTAGACAAGCCGTCGAGTGGAACTTGAAAGGGAAGCGGCGAGTCGGTCGTCCAAGGTCGACTTGGAGGAGGTCATGTGAAGAGGAGATGAAAGACTGTGGGCAGACTTGGAGCCAGGTGAAAACTTTAGCACAGAACCGAACGCAATGGAGACACGCGGCTGAAGCCCTATGTTCCTCTAGGAATTAAGGCAAATAATAATATTATTATAATTTACCTATTGTGTATTATCAAATTCCACGTTACACAGTCATTTATCTTCTCTCTTTACACTACTATTGATTGTGCTTATCCTATATTGGTGTGGGAACAGTCAAATGCGCCTAAAATCCAGCTACAGATTTATACCTATGCAGGTGTGAGTTGTGTGCACCACAGAGAAGAATGTTTAACTAGTGTATTGTCCATTCATTGCCTCTATTTAGTTCGCAGACTTGACGTGCTCACGTGCGAGTCATCTAAAGCATTTCCAGAAGGCTACTTATTACAGACCTTCTACAACAGTTGGCTTAACTTGATAATGAAAGTCATATGGTCAGAAAAGAATTACCAAGAGACACAAAAGTGTGGCAGACAGAGAACCAACTAAACCAACCTATGATTCAGTCAAGATACGGAAGAAAGGAAAAATCGACTGTATATACGCTGAGGAGATACTCAAGTCGTATCACATACCAGATAAACCATTCAATGGAAAGTCAATAGTAAGCAAGTAACGATCTGGGTTAAGTTTGAGGACCACTAAAAGAGGTAGTAAAGGCTTGCGTGCAGTCAGGTAACTGTACGAATGCAATGTCGATGTGGTCCTGGAAAGACAGATTCAGTTGAAAAAAACCGAAGAAATGAAAGCCAAAAGAAAGAGAATATGTATTTATTTTGTAAAACTGGATTAAGGCAAACAGGTACCTTAGACCTGCCGTTAAATAAGAATAATGGCGGAACAATAAGACAAGTGAGACCTGTCTGCAATTTAGTTAACTGAATTCAGAAACCTTGATTATAAGTCAATATCGATTGTGACCGTGTAAATGTGAGAGATAAGTTCCTTTTGAGAGTTTTCATAAATTAATTTCAGTTATGAAATCATTAAAAGAGATGGATCGTTAGACAGCTGAGTTCAACCCTTGACCATGCAGTGCTGAAGAATACCATGCTGGTGCGAAACGACCTCCCAGTGATACCTATCTTCTGGCGATTTTCCAAGAAATGTTGACTTATCACAAAAGTCCAAAAATCGGGAGGTTCAACCTTTCACTAAGACTTTTAATTCATTCTCTTTTTGATTTAAAGAACTCGACTGCATAGCCATTCGTCGACTCATGGGTTTGACTTGGCGGTATGTTGTTATTATCTGTATCGGAAGGAAGATCTTTTTTTCAGCCTCGACAAATTATTGATGGTTAATTGAGATGTATCGTATTTTCACACTTTTAAAGAAAGTCTGTCAGAGCTTGCCAGCTAGGAAAATAGGGATTCAATATCACATCTCTCCTCTGCTGTGTTCTCTGTGGTCCCCTTTACCCGGCTTCATGATTTCTCATGGTCTCTCATATTCTTCTCACTTGACCTCCTCCATATCACCCTTCGACACATGAAAATTCGTCGTCTCCCATTCGAGTTCCAATCGAGTTCCAAGTGGAACATGGGGCTTAAACAATGCCTCTTCACATTGTTCTATTCTATGCTATCCTCTTCAGATGCGTCCATGACTGCCCACAACCTCTCATCTCCTCATCGCCACACGATCTCCTCCATGTCACCCTGAAAACCGACGACCCATTTGTCACCTCCCAATCGGATTCCACTCCAGCCATGGCCTGCATTTAGCTCGATGTCATTCGACATTCTTCCCAACGTATACCCGACCTATCTTTCCTCTTTTTTTCCTACATATCTGTTTAGCGATCGACTCTTGCCTGTTGATTTGTTCCCAGTTAGAGTCTCTTGTTACTGATTCTTTTTGGCCGGCTATTTGATCGTCACTATGGAGCCAGCCAGCAAATGCAGCTGTTGATGAAAGTCTGCAACCTGTTAGAAAATCTCTTCGTGACACGCGGTACAAGTTTCTGATCCGTATAGAAGGACCGACTTGATATTTGTGTTGAATGAATGCAGGAGATTTCCAAACTGGTTCCAGTGTGATGAAGGTGTATCCTGTCTTTCGGTGGCACAGTGGTGCGTCGGTGGCACAGTGGTTAGGACTCTCGCCGACCATGCACATGGTCCGGGGTTCGAGCCCACGCCGGCGCACACCTGATATCTATGGTCGGCCTGCGAAATTTGGGCTACCGATATCCATGCTGAAAATTCCATACTTGTACCAAAAATACAGTGTGGAATCAAGCTGTAAATCTAAAAAAATTCTGGTTAGCTTTGACAATTTCATCCGTTCCGCTGGTCTGTGGTTGAAAACGATGCTTCTCAGCCATGATGGGGATTGGTGCTGCTTAGTGCTGCTCTCTTCTGTCACTCTAATTATGGTTAAGCTGTAGTTAATGAAGTTGAATTTTATGGCTAGCTGTACGGTGAGACTTTCGAGTGAAAGCCGACAGCTGGCACCGAAGTCAAACTTCTAGTTTCAGAATAATCAGCGAGAGGAAACCTTAGGTACATCGAATCGGATGTTTTCTTGGGGTGGGAAACTATTGCGTCTGAAAAGATTAGTGTTTTGCAGTGAACCTTCCGTAAGGACAGACATCTCAGTAAATCAGTCTCAATAACGAAACATTACAGTGCACACTTCAGATTCTACTTTCCCATGTAACCGCTTATACTACTTACATATATGCAATTGACAAAGTAATACTCAACTCACGTTTTGTTTTATTCACAGTGTGTCCATTAGTTTGGCTAACCGATGCAGCATTATCGACATCCCATGCAATCAGTGTAGAATTGAAACCTGTTGTAAAATAGAGACAGAAGGGAAATAAGCAACAGAAATAGGTGTAAGAATTTGCATCTAAACTCCACTTACTGTACATTTTTGATGGTAAATTTCTCTAGGATTGAAGAGGTAGATTTTTCCCATTTAGGAAACTTTAGACGGATAACCCTTTGTCGCCTGAAACGACGGTTGATGGATTTAGGTCTCAATGACAAAACTATCACTTACTGGAGGAGATACTGGTGTACCAAACCAACAAGTCCCGAAAAGGACGAAACAAATGTCTTAAATTTAACTTCTGGTCACCACTGATAACTCAAATAACAATACTACTCGTCTGAATAAGTCTCTCCCTCCCTTACTTTTGATACATCTTTTCCGTAATTGTATCTATAACTCAATTTCGAAGAGTGCCCCCATTAGAGACACTGAAATATATTTTATTATATTCAAGTGCTGGTTTGTAGGAATTTGATTGTTTACAAGATTTCATCATGAGCTGACACAGGTAAGAGAATCACTGAGAACCAGATGAGACTACTAGACGGCTGTTTCACACTCGCTGGCGGCTGTCAGCACTGAACGCCAACCGGAGCTGGGATCCGGTGTCTTCCGGCTCCAAAGCGATCTCGCAAACCGTTGAATACATGAAACCCAATTAAATGGCCAACCCATGAATCTCAACATCTGCCAATTCACAATGCAACGCGACCACTAGCCAGTATCATTGCTGGCGGGCATTTGTCCTCACAGTCGACCTGATGAAGTTTGTCACTGTTACTAATATTATGACAGTGATAATATAAATACTCTCGTGGATAAAGTCAGCCAAAGAAACGTTAACGGTTGTTGTAGGTTTTCAGCAAGCTCCCTGGATATTTTGATTACTGCTGACACACAAATCTGCTTACTAAATGTAATGGCTAAACTCTTTGAAAAATCCCTGCCTGTGAACAACGTAATCACAATATTTCTACTAATTTGAACATTTCAAATAACTTTATAATTATTATCCCACTTTCCCCTGAACTGTATATCATTATCCTGACATTTGCATATCATAGGTTGACTTGATCCTCGCCATTTCTCTTTGTCATTGTTCAGTCTTTAATTTTAATGCCTCTCCTTGTGATAATACTGATACTGTGTTGTTTAACGACTGTAATTTTGTTTGAATGGGTCAAGTTGCCTCTGATCTTAGACTGTCTGCAGGAAGCGTTGGTGTGTGTGATTCTTGTGAACAAAGATTTTGATCTCACCTTGTTGATAATATTTAACATGACCCTAAGTACCTGTTTTGTACTCAACCACTCAACAGCACCACTGAGGTAATATTGAGATTTGGATGTTATAGTTATTATTGAATTGAACCACATGTTCTAGAAACGAGTAATCGTCTTTTTGCTGTCTTTGGAGCGTTCTGCGATTGTGCATCTCTCAAGAAAATATCAGATTAGTTTCCTACTTTTAGACCACAAGGAGTCGGTTTTGGTCGCTACACAAGACAAGCCAAGACACCGACCTCAAACCTCTATGTGAATAACAATACGCTATATTATATTCATCCCGTCAATGAAACTACAGCACTAGTATCTCTGCCAACATCTTCAGGATTACCAAAATTGCTATTACCTTCATCTCACGAGACTTGTTTCATGTCACCATCAAACCCACATCCAACTCGTCGTTCGCTTCACATTCACTTTTCACTCGACAGTATGATGTTTTTTGTCACTCAATAGGTTTCTTAGAGTTACCTAATCCATGTCCACTTTATTCTGCATATTTTATAAGCTATAGATTGCTGGCTAGTTGGCCAGCAGAGTTCCTCGTTATTCGCATTAAATTATATACTACTGATTGGTTGAAATGAGTAGCTGAACACCACTCATAACAACCAGTAGTGCTTGCTAGCCAAGCTGAGGTGAACTATGCAATGAATGGCTGTCTCGCTGGTTTTCATCTGGGCTCATCAATGATGTCTCCGGCCGAATGAAGTGAAACCACCCGATTTTCGGCTATTCAAATGGGCGAACTGGTCATACCGAAAACCAAACTGGTTAGAAATCTTCAATCTTCACAGTACGAGTGGTGCAATTTCACTTTAGTTCCCTTTGGAACCCAAGTTATCCAGATCACATTATGTGATCTGCCTAATACCGACTTGTTAACCAATTTGCTACTTGTGAACGTAATTACTGGTAAAACAAGTTCTCCCAAGCAGATAGCTAAAGATCAGGTACAATGAACTATTCAGGCTCTCCGAGCTAATTCAAGTCGAGTACACGACTGTTAAACTCGGTCATCCAGTGTTCAGATCACCTCGATCTGACTAGCAAGCACCACTGTATTATATGAATGGTATGAAACTACTTATCTCAATTATTCAGTAGTATACAATTCTATGCAAATGTACTTGTTTCCTTGGTTACCATTTTTGGTATCATTCAGACTGGTTATCGTTTCTAGCCGGTCATCTAATCTTCAGTTTGATGTCAGCAAATGAGGCAAGTATTGATAAACGTCTGCTTTAACATGTTAGAAGCATTTCTGGAAATGGATCGTTTCATGTCCCTAGAGTATTTAGAAGGAATAACTGAACATAAGTGTTAAATACCCATTCGGATAGTATTCATCATTCATAGATCTCCACATCGATTTCAAAATACTGAAAGCCCATCTTACTTTCCTGCAGTGGAGAGTTTTTGAAAACCTTATCCCAATCGCCTGTAGTTGAGTGATGCTGACCAGACAGCTTCTAACAGACATCTCCAGGGAAGGCTTAGAGTGGACTAGAAGTCTCCCAGGAGCTGATTTTTGAGCATTAATCTGAAATATCAGTATCTTCCCATATCATAAACCGAGAAACACAAAACTCATTTAATATTAGGATGTGATCGATGTAATTTCCCACCAATTTATTGATCAAAAGGGAACTAAATGGTACCACAGATAGTTAAATCATAAAAATTGATTGTATAAAGACTTTTTAACAATGGATCTCAGTAAGATCTATCGATAGAATTGTTTATTTGGCAGTGTGATGTACGATAATGACGAAATGTGAAAATCCTACATTGGAACTCTGTGTCTCCTCTTCAATTCATGCTTTCTATATCATTTCACAGTGATCTCCGTCTCTCCTCATTTTCAGATATTCACAGACTTCACGAACATACTACTTATAAATTCTTGACAGTAGCTAACATCACACTTTGCAATGGAATACGAAAAACGGACATATCAATTAACTCATAACTTTTCTTTTTGATATAATTATATCTGTATGTATATATGTATATTACTGATGAAATTGTAACTCAGATTATGTCAGTTAAACCATTTCATAGTTAGTAGTTCATTGATCTGAGACCACCGATCATAACATGCCTCTCAAACATGCCCAATTTCCTTTGTTCACATATCATTCAGATAAAGTTAGTTAGATTACATATATATATATATATATATATAATTAAATACCCATCTATTTATTCTTTGAGATAATCAATAAAGTTATTTGAATAACATCAATCTTATCGATTTCTTTCATCTAAACCAATTCAACTAACAATAATAATAATAACAACAAAAGGTAAGACTATACTGATTTGCTGATCAATTAGATCATGTATACACACAGATAATATGGAGTATAATAGGCTGAAGTTTCTTTTAGTGATGGGAGAAAACAGAGACACAGAGTCACGTAACAATAGCTGAAAATTAGTTCATTCTTCTAGTAAAACTAATCTGCTACATATATTGATCTTTCTTCTCTCTCCCTCTCTCTCTCTTTTTCTAGTTTACAAGTTCTTTCTATCATCAGGTAAAATTAATCAAAATTGTGATGAAAAATAATCAAAAAAAAAATAGGACCTAACTCACCTGGTCTACCAACTGAAGAATGTCTTGTACGTCCAAGTTCTATATGTTCTTTTGGAAGTGTTCCAAGCCCAGTAATTGGATCTCTTCGAACTGCTGCAATGTGTAATAGACACACAAACGGACGCAGATGAAATTAGTTAGTAGCTATACCATAAATCGTAGAATCTTAGAAGTTGGATTCTGTCACTTTAGGATAAAAGCTGTGCCAATTCAGCTCGCAACCTGAAAGTCCTGGGCTAGATTTTCAGTAAAATAAGGAGTGAGCGCTGATGAAGATCCCCTGACTTGGACAAAAAACAACTGGTTCTGTGAATGATGCAAATTTGAGGTTAAGTATGAAATCCATCAACTTCCTGTAAACCAACACTTCAAGATGCACGAAGATTTGACTTAACTTCAGAGGAAATATATTCATTAACGATAATCACTTAGTCAGTCAGTCACTCAGTCAATGGAAACAGAGGAGAATTTGACAGGTGTTTCTTTCAGGTGGGTACAAAGTCCGATAGTCCATGGTTTACTATCTGTGGTAATTGGATAAATCCATCAACCAATTAAGTTCAGTATTGCTGATGTAAAGGGTGTTGACCGAAACTCACGGCACTGAAATAACTAGCTAATTATCGGCCGGGTCTCCTAACTGATCAGCTGCTACAACTCCAGAGTGGTAATTCAGAAGCGACTGATTCTAATTCGGAAGAGACTCAGACTTTTATTATACCTTCAAGTAAATCGGCAGATGATGACCAGCGGTAGAATCGACGGCAACGTGCATTTCGCCGTGATTGCGATTCGTCCACTAGGTGTACCTGCACTCTTCAGTGAATGATGATGTTCCCACCGAGGCTAGAAGCCAGTCATAATCTATAGTTTCAAACGCAAAGCATTATCCATTAATTCACTTAGGTCACGAAAGCCAACAACTCCTGTGCAACGGGTATTTTTGTTAATTTTTTATTATTTTTGATTGCAGCTTGACTCCATACCGTAATTTTGGTACACGTATGGAATTTTCAGCCTGTGATATCGGTAGCCCAAATTTTTGCAGGCCAACCATAGATTTCAGGTATGCGTCGGCAGAGGATTAAACTCCGGACCATACGTATGATCGGCGAGAGTCCTAACCGCTATGCCGACAACGCTTTCCCGTTGACTAACTGGACTGAAGTTCCCGTCCTCTTTAGATATGTAAGCTCCTTGTGCAGATGACTTGAAGATGTTTCATCATTTAAATGGAAGTAAATCAATTACCGGCAAAATCTAAATTGAAATTAATAATAACTAATGCCTTGCGCACAAGAGGCGGCTCATGTCACCCGATTGATCTAGTGGATAATGCCTTAGCGTCTGAAACTGTGGGTTATGATTGGCTTCGAACTACACTGGGAACACCATCATTCATTGAATGTGGATTTCACGTACAAGCTAGATGATGAATCCCATATGGGACGAAATATGCATCCTGGGTTCCACTACCACTCAACGTGAACCACTTTACTTCCAGTTAAATAGTCAGACATCGTCAAAGCATCTGTGCAGAAGGAGCCGATATATCAAGAGAGGACAAGGACGTCAGTCCAATCAATCAACGGGAAATTCCAAAATGAATTAAATAAATAGAGGATTATGTTTAATTTAATTTTCTATTTTACGTTGATCGATTATACAGGACTGTAATGTTCAGTGTCTGTTGACTATTGTAGCCTAACTGACTTAGTGGATAAAGGACTAAGCGTTTGAAACACTGGGTGCTGAGATCGAGTCTGACAGAGGATCCAATTGACAAGTCCAAATAACGACGAAATATGCACTCGGGACTCCACTGCTAGTCACCATCCATCAAACATATAACAGTCTGTCAACTAAAATATTCTGACCACCAGTCGTTTAAGTACTTAATGGATATTCCAAGTTCTCAAAATTAAATCAAACTTATGCTCTTCAGTTGAATTCTATCCTCTGTAATTTCACCTCATAAAAAATGACCTCGTAAGTGGTGTTAAACTCAGTAAAGGGTTTCATTGTTTTTCTGCCTATCTCTCTCTGAACGTATTTTAAAAAGGAAACAGGTAACTAGGCTAACTTACAGTCAATCTAATATCTTTCATGCAGAGATTAGGCCTAACCTACCACTTGAGTTATGTCAGTCAATTAAGCTTGTCAGTCCTAAGGTTATACTCAGAACGCCTATTGAGGTTAACATTACAGAATTCAAAGTGGCTTCCCTCCCTCTCGTTTTTCGTCAAATAAGTAGCTTTTACTCAGGTCATATGACCTTAGATATATGATAACTGATCAGGAAGGGAGTCTTTGTGTACTTCCTTCCTTCATTTTTTTTATTGCTTTAAGTGTGACCTATTCAAAAACAATTACCTATTACCTGAGAGTGGCTACCAGAGGTACCCAGGAAGTGCATTTCCTCGACACTTGACACCTACCGTCTGGAGCATAAACAATAGTCCGCTTAATTTAATTCCTATGCTAAATTTTTATTTTTAGCATCCGTGTGGAGAACTGCTACCGCATTCAGCAAAAGGAATTAGATCTGGATCTTCAACAATATTGTCAGTCTAGCTAACCAAGTACCCATATGTTGAAGGAAATATAGATGGATTGGGCATCACAAACACCACAGAGACTCTTGAGTGGAATGCTGATGGGAAACGATGAGTTGTCCTTCAGTGTAAGGGTAAAATAGAGGAGATCGTGTGCAAAGAGAGTAAAATCTTGTGTGGAATTGTTCAACCAACTAAAAGAAACACCGCAGAGAACAGGGAAAAATGGAGATGTACTGCTGAATCCCAATACTGCACTCGAAACACATTTGGAATAACACAGTGATGGTAATTTAGACAGGTAGAGTGAAAGCGAAGAATTATATAATTTTAAGCGAATAACATTAAAATAATGCTCACTGCTAAAAATTTAACAGGTAATGCTCAATACCCTAATGGATGGTCTATCCATAGGAGAAATAGGTGCCTACTATATGCGACTTTGAGTAGAAACACAATTACATCTGACTAACGAGTTCTGATGAGATCAAACATAGATTCGACTGATAGTCACCACAAGCAAAGTAAAGTTGGAAGTTTTCTCTCTCTCTCTCTCTCTCTCTGATATATCGCAGTCATAACCAACTGACTGAGATTAAAAATCAATTTTTTACTAAGTCCTAACACCGATTCAATCAGAAGAATTCCACCTAGCAATATTACCATTCGGTAACTTTCATCTTCTTTGATTGATTTCATTTCTGTATATGACCAGCACCGACAACTATTGTTCTCCCCACTCCTTCCCTTTCAAGTATAACATAAGGCTTCAGGCTTTGAAGTTGAAGTAGCGTTGACTTGCTATCAGCTGTCGTAATCGACCCCTGACCATGTACGTGGTTGATGGGCATTGTAACACTGAATTGTCAACCCACCAGATGGCTAATACTTCGTGCAGGCATCTGTGTACCATTCATATATACATTAGATGTCGACGAATTCCTCCGTAATAAATGTTACATAGTTTAGGAGTCAATATGACAAATCGTCAGGTTGATTATTATCTGCGTACTGAAATCATACTGAACTCTCTCAGTTTTTAAACATCAGTTATAAGTTATTTTGCTGATTGATCAAGCGGTCTAGGATGATTCTGATCAGTTGAAATTCACATTCATGTTAGATGGATGAATACTGATTAAAAACAAACCACTCATTCAAGCTTAGATATTTTCGTAGAATAGAACCTGCCTACAATGAGTAGGGGGTCTTAGTGCTCATATTTTATGACTTCCATATGACAGACTTCTTCCTCATTGGTAATGACCTCTCACTATAACTTGATAACATCCATCCAGTTGTTATTAGTTACCTGGAAATAGATATTCAGATTATGAGATGGACGGCTGCCCTCAGGTGATAGTGAGAAATCGTGAGCAGTGCGGTTCACAATGTCAAGGTAGAGTCGGTGATCCTTGAAGAGGCGTTGATTGAGAGTATCGCTAAATCACGCAGCGAAAAAAGGAAGGAATTCTGTGTTTATTGGATTCCACCACACGGAATGGGGCTAAGAGGAATATCTCACAACCTGAAGATCCCGTGTTCGATACCTGGTTGGGAGTGTGGGTACGACGCACTGCTGAAGAGGCTTAGGTTGGGGGGAGGGGAATTAGCTATCTGGTGCCCCCTGGCTATCAATGGTTTCCTAACTGATATTACTTCATGACAAAATCAGGAAATTGGAAATAATCCAAATCCTCCCGTTAAGTGGCGTTAACTCAACGCTAACCCACAATTCCTAACTCTAAGTTAACTGTAATTCATCCTAACCTACCACCAGCCCAAACATAATTCTAATTCCTTGTCATATAAGATAAGCATTTAGATGAACACTTCTGTAAGAAACTCAAAGATATTCTGCCAATATTTTAGAGAGAAAGTATCCTGTTTGGTATGTTTACACTTTTTGTCAACACTTTTAAATGAACAAATACCACTTGCTCAATGGCATTCTCTGATTGGTTAATTGGTTGGTTAGTCGGTTCAAGGTCATTGAGGCATTCATTTTGGCTGAAGTTTAACTTCCGCCAGCAAGATATGGGTAACAATGTTTAAAAAAAACCAAAACAAGTCACAAGTTGATTTTAAGCCTTAATTGTGATCAGAGTAAATAAACTGTTTTCTTATTATTGTTATTATTATTGTTCTAAGCCCTATTAACCTCCACATAAGTTATTTAAAAGTCCATTGGGAAACAAAACAGAACAAAAATGAGACTTAATCAAAATTCTTTCTTTAACTAACTCTCTTAAAGCATTTTTTTTAAATACTTCTATATTAAAACCACTTTTCAACAAATACTCATATGTATAAATATCACCTAGTTTACTGGCTGATTCTAAGCTTGAAAGAAGAGAGAAATTTGGGCTAATGGTTATCCAGAAAACTTTATCAATTGTCACAGTAACGAAAGACCACATCTTGAAAAGACAGCTTCTGTACCAAAGAAAGCTATCTTTATTAACCTACCATTCAAGGGCGACCAGATTATGCAGTTGACAGCTAGCTCAAAGGCTTCAGTCAGTCATCAAGAGCACA